GCCTGGGTGGCTCAGTTGGTTAAGCGACTGCCTTCGGCTCAGGTCATGATCCCGGAGTCCTGGGATCGAGTCCCACGTCAGGCTCCCTGCTCAGCCGGGAGTCTGCTTCTCCCTCTGACCCTACCCCCTCTCATGTGCTCTCTCTCTCTCTCTCACTCTCTTTCTCTCTCAAATAAATAAAATCTTTTTTAAAAAAAAAGAAAGAAAGAAATGATCCAGGTTTTAAGCAGGCAATTAAGAATTAAGAATAAAAATTTAATTTTAGGAAGATTTATTTGGTGGTAGTGTTTGAGATAGATTATAGAAGAAAGGACTAAAGGCAAAACAAAAAAAAGAAAAGAAAAGAACAACAACAACAACAACAACAGCAACAAAAGAGAAAAGAAAACTACTGAAAACCAAAAAAAAATGGGACTTCTGGCTGGCTCAGTTGGTACAGCATGCAACTCTTGATCTCGGGGTTGTATGTTCAAGTCCCGTGCTGGACACAGAGCCTACTTAAAGAAAAAAAGAAAAAAAAAACACCTGAATGCTTCTTTGAGCATCCACTAAACATCTGACTGCATGCAAACTTAATAAACATAATTCCTCCCCTGTCAGTCCAATGGGGAAGACATTCATTAACCCCATAGTTACCTCTTAAGGACCTACCAGTGCCAAGGATCATAGGAGGCTCTGGGGACACAGTGAAAAGCAAAATGCAGTCCCAGCCCTCATGAAGCTGATCCACCTCCAATGAGCAAGGAAGATAACACAAAAGCAAAGCAACAGTTACATCAATATGAAGTCAGGTACTAGTGCACAAAGATACAAGTATCGGATCCGAAGGGGTACGTGCACCCCGATGTTTATAGCAGAAATGTCCACAATAGCCAAACCGTGGAAAGAGCCAAGATGTCCATCGACAGATGAATGGATAAAGAAGAGGTGGTATATATACACAATGGAATATGATGCAGCCATCAAAAGGAATGCGATCTTGCCATTTGCAACGACATGGATGGAACTGGAAGGTATTATGCTGAGTGAAATAAGTCAATCGGAGAAAGACATGTATCATATGACCTCACTGATATGAGGAATTCTTAATCTCAGGAGACAAACTGAGGGTTGCTGGAGTGGTGGGGGGTGGGAGGGATGGGGTGGCTGGGTGATAGACATTGGGAAGGGTATGTGCTATGGTGAGTGCTGTGAATTGTGCAAGACTGTTGAGTCGCAGATCTGTACCTCTGAAACAAATAATGCAATATATGTTAAGAAAGAAAAAAAGAAGAAGAAGATAGCAGGAGGGGAAGAATGAAGGGGAGTAAACCGGAGGGGGAGACGAACCATGAGAAGACGATGGACTCTGAAAAACAAACTGAGGGTTCTAGAGGGGAGGGGGTGGGGGGATGGGTTAGCCTGGTGATGGGTACTAAAGAGGGCACGTTCTATGTGGAGTACTGGGTGTTAAGCACAAACAATGAATCATGGAACACTACATCAAAAACTAATGATGTAATGTATGGTGATTAACATAACAATAAAAAATTTAAAGAAAAAAATAAAATAAAAAAATAAAGTCAGGTACTAGTGCTATGAAGAAAAATAAAGCAGGGCATTGGGTAGGGAATTGTAAGACAGAATGGTCAGGAAAGGCCTCTCTAAGAAAATGCCACAGTGTTTCAAGTCCAGAGAATAGATAAAATGGAGATGCCACTGCTAGCAATAAGGATACTGAGAAGGTGACTCAGTTTGTCAGAGTACAGAGGATATGGGGAGTCTTATTTAAAGTGTGTTAAGCTTGTGATAAAAGCAGAAGATCCACACAGAAATGTCTAGACTCTAGAACTCTAGTCTACAAAATCAGAGGAAGACAAAGATTAGACATGTAGATTTAAAAATCATCCACTGATATTCGAGAGATAAGAAACCTCTCCAAAACTAGTGTACATGAAATGAAAGTAACTCAAGGACTGGAAAAAAAAAATGGAGTTTAAGATTTACAAATGTTTTATCCTACCTCCTATGATGGATGATGCGTCCCTTCAGCCTCCTATAATACCAGGGGTGGGCGGTGACTTTGGTAGGTGGCAAGGAGCTGGTAACAAAATACTACTACTAATAATTGAGGCTCATTTACAACCAATCATCCAAAAGGCCTCTGTCCCCTGTTCCTTCAATCCCTAAGGCACAGCTGTGGGGACAGCTCTATCTCTCTTCTGCACTCACCCCTAGGACCACCTGCTGCCCCTTTGTGATTGTTTCCTCTGCAGGTGGCTCTGGGTGTTTGTTTTAATTTTAATGTTTGGGAGAAAGGGATTTGGAAAGCAAAATAATTTTAAACTGGCCTTTCCTACCTTCCTAGAAATGGCACAATTAAATGTTAGGATAGACTCAAGGGTAGGCTGACCAACTATCCCAATTAGCCCAGAGCTGTCCCAGTTTCAGCCCTGCAAGTCCTGCACTCAGGGAAACCCCTCAGCCCTAGACACACTGAAATGGTTGATCACCATACAGCTGGTCTGGCCTGTATGATGTAACATAAGGCTTTCCATCTCTAAAGTGACATCAGCACTGTTGAATCACGTGCTTAGTTTCCCAAGCCCTACCTAACCCTCTACCCTAGAAGTTGGGTTCTCTTTCCTCACCTAGACAGAGGAGCTACCAGAAATTCCTAAACATAAGTTGATCCTGGATTCCCCAGCCTTCTATTCCCACCATCTCCTACTCAGCTCCAGCTACCACCTAAACCAGAAACGCCAAATGCACCGGCACCCCCAATCCATACCACCTGCTGCTCTTTCTGCCCAGCCCCAGCCAGTAAGCTGGTGGGGTCTGGGGGTCAAAGTCAGATTATCAAAGACAGAAAGAGGGGAACTCATCCAGGTAGTAATGTGCTCTACCACAGTAAACCACAGAAAGGGGAACCCCAGATGAACTGCAGTCTGCTGACCACAGAAGACATGTGGTTTTCGTCTTTGAGTTACAGAAATACCAGAAATGCTTACGATGGAGTCAATTTCGGAGTTTTGCAACCAAAGCTGGGCTGACTCACCTTCAGAGAAGGAACCAGGTGAAAGCCCCCATAGTAAGGTATACATCATACACTCTTCCAGAAGCCACAGTGTTTGGCACACTCACAAATCTTGAGATGGTTCACATATCATTTCTGCCAGGTTATTAGAGACTTCTCCAAAATTTTAAGGAAGATTCAAAGAAAATGCCAAGATTGGGGCACCTGGGTGGCTCAGTCGGTTAAGTGTCTGACTTTGGCTCAGGTCATGATCCCAGGGTCCTGGAATCGAGCCCCCATCAGGATCCCTGCTCAGCGGGGAGTCTGCTTGTCCCTCTCTCACTGCGCGTCTCCCCTTCTTTTTTTTTTATTTTTTAAAGATTGTATTTATTTATTTGACAGAGAGAGACACAGCGAGAGAGGGAGCATAAGCAGTGGGGGGGAGAGGGAGAAGTAGACTCCCCACTGAGCAGGGAGCCCGATGCGGGGCTCGATCCCAGGACTCTGGGATCATGACCCGAGCCGAAGGCAGACGCCTAACCGACTGAGCCACCCGGGTGCCCCGCGCCTCTCCCCTTATTCTCTCTCTCTCTCTGTCAAATAAATAAATAAAATCTTAAAAAAAGAAAGAAAGAAAATGCCAAGATTGATATTAATCTCAACTTGGTCCCTTGTTTCAGGAATTTCCTGTCTAACATTAAAAGAACAATAAGCAGCGTTCACCACCCTCTAGGAATAACCCTTATTTGGCCCCGTGTCACCTTCACTGCTTGGGAGCAGGCTAAAAGGCAGAATTTTACCACAGCTGCTTAACTAACCTTGCCAATCAGCATGCCCACACAAATCTTACTACCTTAAATGGTAATAGCCAAGGCAAAGGGTAGTTGTTATGGTTGTCTTTTTTAATTGAATTGTCTGGGAAATTGCCTCCCCCCCCCCCCATAAAAGGACTCAAACATTTGATCTTTGAAACAGCCCCTTTCCCTGTCCCACCCCACAGGAGGCTATTGCAAGATTGCATCACTGACCTTTACAATTTTCTGGACAGTCTGATTTCCCCCTCCTCCCCCTCTACTGCTGGCAGCCCTTTGGCCCACTTGCCTCTGCTTTCCCCCTCTTGCTAGCCAACTCTGGTAAATGGATAACCAAAGCCAAATCATTACACCCTCCACCCCAGGGTGATGATGTTTAATTCCAGCCAAAATATATCTTTCTCTTCTCCCTTGCTTCCAGCAGTGCTTTTTTTTTTTTAAGTCTTACTTAAGTAATCTCTACACCTAAGGTGGGGCTTGAACTAAGGACCACAGATCAAGAGTCACATGCTCTTCCAACTGAGCCAGCCAGCGCCCCCTGCCCCAAGAGTTCTCTCTTTAGCTCTTACCCAAACCCTCTATTCTCACCCTTCTGCCCCTGTTTCTATAAGCTGAAATGGCACAGTGGTGTTGTAACCCCAGACCCAGGGAAGTGGTGAGTAATTATTGAGAGCATTTGCATTCCAGACCAGCAGAAGAAATTTATCGGCAGTCCCCTTCCATCTCCTCTGCCCCGTAGCCCCCAGCTGCACTTCTCAAGTAAGAGTGGGAATAACCGGGATTTAATGATACCCAGATGTACATATACAAACAGGGGCAGGTGCAGAGACGCATCACACACACAGCCGTGCAAAAGGGCACCCTCAGTAAGTAGTTATCTATCAAGTGACCTTGGCAGGGCAAGCACCTGTGAATAAAACCAGTTAGGCCGAAAAGAAACAGAAGCACATACAGAGCCTGGAGACCTGGTGCTGCTCCTTACCAGGATCCCTCTCCCCTTGTCTTCTCCCGTCTGATCCCCACACCTGTGGGAAGACGACAACCCTTGGGAATAAAAACTAAAGATTTTCCGGTTAGGTAGAACGCCCCCTCCCCGCGATGTCCTCATTAGGGGTCCCTCACGGGCCACCCCAGACAAAGAAAGCTGTGCCACCCACCCACACCACTAAGGAAGAGTCACGTGGGAAACGTACGCGATACCTCCCAGGGCTCCGGGTCCTCACCGGTGTGCGCACCCGGCGTGGGACCTCCTGCGTCCCGGTCGCACCCCGCCCCCCCGCCGCGGTCTCCCCTGCCTGGGACTCCCAGCTCACAGGGCCCAAGCGTGCACAGCTCCTGGCCGCCTCCACCTAGGTCCTTCCGCGCCCCTCCCCCTCCTTCCCCCTCCCCCCTCCTCCCCCCTCCTTCCCCCTCGTTCCTCTGGCGCTAGCGGCGCTGGCCCCGGGCCAAGGGAGCCCAGGAGGCGGGTCTCGGAGGAAAGATATAAGTGGCCCTGGGGCACGTCCAAGGTGCCCGCTGCGGAGTCTCCACCTGGAAGAGCCGCGGCTGCCGAGGAGGAGGAGGAGAACGCAGAAGCCGGCGGGACCCGCGGACTCACTGCCCGCCGCCGCCGCCGCCCCCGGCTCGCGCTGCCTCCTGCTCGCGCTGCGCCTTGGAGGTGAGCCCCGGCGGAGGGAGAGCGCGGCGGGGCGGGCCCCCCTGCCCGCGGGACCGCCGAGCGAGGGGGCTCTCGGGCAGGCTGGAGCCATCCTTCCGTGGCTGAACGGTCCCCTTTCCTGCGCCGCCCCTCCCACAGGTCACCCCCGCCCCCGAGATGGAAACGGTGCAGGAGCTGATCCCGCTGGCCAAGGAGCTGATGGCCCGGAGGCCCAGTCGGAAGCTGGTGAAGCTGTACGTGCTGGGCGGCGTGCTAGCCTTCTTCGGCGTGGTGATCGGCCTGATGGAGACTGTGTGCAGCCCCTTCACGGCCGCCAGCCGCCTGCGGGACGAGGAAGCAGCGGTCGCCGAGCTGCTGGCCGCCCGAGAGCGGAAGGTCCTGGCGACCCAGACCCTGCGGGAGAAAAGCAAGCAGCAGGAGGCCGTCCTCTGCAGCCGGGCGCTCTCCAACCGGCAGCACGCCTCCTAGGACCCCTGGGAGCCCGCAGAGGGAGTGGAGAGAGAGCCTGAGTGCGAGAAAGAAGAGCGCGTGTAGGGTCGGGCTCAAGTGGGAGAGAGCAGGAGTCCTGTGTTGTTTGGACTTAGATTTGAGAAGCCACAGACTTGCAGAACTGAACTACCACACGGATCCACCAAAGGAGTCTGGGATTAAGTGTTGCTGCTGTGCAGCATTGCAGGATGACATGTCCAAAATTACGTATCTTTGAGCTATGTGAGTGCATCTACCATTTTGCACTAGGGTGGAAGGCGGGGAATGCTTTTTATATTATTATTATTATTACAATGACCACCATTTTGCATTTTGAAATAAAACCCTCGTTTTATACTATGTCTCAGTATCTTGATTCCTGGGGGGCATGTTTCCCTGGGGTGGACAGCAGAGAGGGTGAACATGCTGCCCAAGGGGGTCTTAGCTGAGCACTGCGGGAAGAGCAGCTGCCTGACCGGCAGGCAGCATTTACCGTCACTGTCGGGGACTCATATTCATATTACATGCTTATAAGTATGTTGAGGATTCGTTTTTGTTTCATGGTACGGGTGACAGGAGAGAAACTTTTATTAAATCCCACCAGACTTAGCATTTTAAGATCGGAAGATAAATCAACTTCTGAGCTATGGTACACGAATAGCAGATACTGATTAATTCTAGGGCAAAAACCTATTTGCCATCGCACACCTGACCCGAGGCTCCTATGACTGATATCTCTTTCTTCCTGTATTTTAACAAGACAGAGGAAAGAAAAGAAAACTAGCTAGCTGTTCGGAAGACAGAAGGCAAGTCCCCAAGAATGCCTAATTGGATCTCTAGCTCTACCCAGCCTTCCTCCCCATCAACTCAAATCATAGTAAGAAGCTCTGGGTTAGAAGGAGAAAAGACTGGTTATCACCCATCTGAGTCCTCTCCCTCCAGGGATAGAGTATAAACTTCTTGTGGTCAAGGTCCTTGTCTTCCTCTTCCTCTTTAGTGTTCATAGAAATTACCAAGTCTTGGACAAATAATAGGTCCTTACTAAATATTGATTGCTCAAGTAATCTATTTATGAAATTAGAGTACTGATTCTCTGTGGAAGGAGGGGCAATTTTGTCCCCCCAGGAGACATCTGAAAATGTCTGGAGTTGTTTCTGGTTGTCTGGTAGGGGAAGAGGAGCACTATTACTAGCATCTAGGGAGTAGAAGCCAGGGATGCTGCTAAACATCTTAGAATGCACAGGACACCCACCCACAACAAACCATTCTCCAGTCCAAAATGTCAATAGGGCAGAGGTTGAGAAGCCCTGGGTTAAAGGAAAGGAAAGAAAAAGGGTTTGCTTAATAGTTTCAGAATCAAGGTTTTGGGGTGGTCTCGGGAGACTATGGTTGTTATCAAATAGAAGTCCCTCTCCCCACACAGGGACAGAAATGGTCCTTGGCCCTATCCTGTTTGGCAGTTTTATCATCAACCTAGGAGAAATGACAGGAGGTATACATATCAACTCTGTTGCTGATGCAGAGCTGAGTCAGGATTCAAAACGACTCAACAGGTTGGAAGCATGCCCTGAAGCTAATCAACTGAAACTGAACAGAGAAGATACCGTACAAAATTAGTTCCAAACATCCAGTTGCATGGCCACAGGATTACGAAGGCTTATTCTAGCAGCAGATCATGTGAAAAAGACCTAGGTGTTTCCACTGATTACAAGCTCAAGATAAGCCAACAAGTGTCTGCCAAAAAAAAAAAAAAAAACCTAACATCTTATTAGTAGAAATTTAATGTCCAGAAAAGGGGATGAGGAGGTGGATTTGTTTTACTTTACAATCCGGCAGGTGGGAAACCAAAGAAGTTAAAAGAAACCTCCTGGATTTGCTTCGGTTTGCATTCTGACTCCTCCATTTGCTAGCTTTAAGACCTTGGACAAGTTACTTATAAACACTCTGCCTCTGGTTAGTTAACTTCTTTCCCCATCTTTAAAAAAGTGACTCCCTCGTGGGATAATTTTGCAAATTAAATGAGACAATGCATGTATAGTGCTTAGAGCAGTTACCTGGCAAACGGCTTTCAGTTGTTAAATTTCAAGAGAGACCTTGACAAACAAAAACCTACTTAGATCAGAGGGGCTTGGGCATATAAAAATCCAGGAACCCTGTCACATACAGAACAATTGAATAGAGGAGTAGAGAATTTACAACACAATCCTGTCACATACTTGCCTCCAAATAGTTGAAAGGCTGCCATATTGATTCAATAAAGTCCAATAAAATAGACTTATTTTATGTGGCTTGAAAATGCAGAACTAAAAGTAGCAAAGAGAAGTAGAAGGAAGCAATTCTCAGGTCATTAAGAAATCAGAGTAATTCAAAACATAAGGAGTTTCCCTGTGATGTATAGTAAACTCCTCATTACTAAAAGCATGGAAGCAGAAGTTGGAAATAAACTGGAGAGGAGATTTCTGAACTTGGAAGGGAGAGTGGTCTTATGACCTCTGAGGTGTCACCCAATTATAAGATGCTGGGATTCTAGGGGCACTGGATGGCTCAGTCGTTAAGCGTCGGCCTTCGGCTCAGGTAATGGTCCTGGGATGGAGCCTCACGTCAGGGTCCCTGCTCTGCAGGAAGCCTGCTTCTCCCTCTCCTACTTCCCCTGCTTGTGTGTTCCTTCTCTGGCTGTCTCTCTCTCTCTGTCAAATAAATAAAATCTTTAAAAAAAAAAGTGCTGGAATTCTATTTGGTACAACCACCAAATAGGGGATATATTTCCTATTTCAGCCTGCTTCTCTGAACCCTTCCCTCCACCCCCATCACACACACACCCTCTGTGTTTCCTATGCCTTTTTGTTCTTTTTCTCAGCATGTTGACAAATATTTTCCTTCTTCCTAAATGACTCTTAAAAATAATGAATTTATATATTAACTAACTAGAATTTAAATAATAATGAATTTAATTCCAAAAATAAAATATTTACCAATTAAGTTTATCTAACAAAGGCTTTTGCCTCTTAGAAAATACCTTAACCTGGTGGTTTGAACCTAATGGTTCTCAAACTTTGTCACTGTGAAACAATTATTAGTCACCTCGTTTGTTCCAAAACTCTGATCTATTAATATAAATAAATATGTAATTTTGTATTATATCAGATTCCAACTTGTACTATGTTTTAATGAAAGCACATAGTTGGTATCAACTGTGAGAATATTAAAAAGTTGCCACATTCTTAGGACAAGTTTAATTGTTCTATAATCATGGTTTAAACCCATTGGCTCAATCAATGACAACTCGCCTCAGCTAAAACATTCTTACAAGCCAACCAGCCAGTGATAGACCCTCACTGCTGAGGGTCAACCAACCAGGAACTGACATACCCCATAAATACATTCCAGAGCGCCAGGCAGTCAACAAATAAGTATGCTTCTATAGGCGATATCAGCCCACTTAAGTCTGGGAAAGTATGCCAATCTCTGAATTTTGTGTTTCCCAAAAACCAACAAGTATGCTTACTAGGTTCATTGTGCCCAAACTCTGTTTGTCCTTCATATCTGCTGCCAGCTCAGTCAGTCCCAATGACAGGTTGAACTCCAGTGGTTTCAAATGAGTTCTCACCACTCCTGTGATTTTTAACCAAGTAGGTCTTTGTATAAAATCATCAGTCTTTGTACAAAGTAATCAGGTATTTTGGTTGACAGGTGTACATGCTGGTAAATAATTACACCTAGGCCTTTGTATAAGGTCATTAGACATTTTGTTTAGGAGGTATACCACTGAGTAATTAGACATAGGTCTCATACAGTTCATTAGACCTTTTGTTTTGGAGGTATACCATTTGCTAACTATTTGTTAAGTGTCATTAAACTGCTTATTCCCCTGCTGCTTACTTTAACTTCACTTTTGTTTGTCTATATTTAAAGTCTTGTCTTATGTGTTTTTGTTTTGTTCTGGAATACCTTATTTCTGATATATGTATAAGGGAGAGTTTCATAGGGAATAGCCCACTAAATCACTAATCCAGTCCAAGTTGACCTAAGGGATTGTAGCTGGAGAGCCATTAGACTGGTGCCCAATTCAGGAAAAGGCAATTGGCCAAACTTAGCTTTGGGTCCCCTACAAAACTTCCATGAGAGCACTCTCTGTCTTGTCAATGTGTAAAAGAAGGTCACTTTTAGTCTGTATTCTTGGTCAAACATTGTCAGGTCATTGATTGCATGGCCCTTTCCTTACCTTTGCTTAGAAAGGGCATGCAAGATACCATTTGCAGGCACACATTCTTACTAAGCAGCCTCTTTTGTCTTTCTGGGTTCTTCTTTGTCAAAACTGCAACCTCCTCCTGGAAGAACTCTTACTTCCCATATAAAGCTGCACCGTAATCCTAACTCTTGTGCTTACTTTGATAAAGGACAAAAACTTTGAGTTAGATTAACAATGGCCATCACGGAGGAATTTTGACCTGTCAAAATCAGTAAATTAATTAATTTAAGAGGAACTCCAGAAATCTAGAGTCAGTAGGTTGCTTCTTTAATTCACATGCTGAGGCCTAAGAAGCAAAATTCTAATGCCAGTATGGTCTCTCTCAAAGACTGATACCTTCTGAAACCCACCCCTGTTTCATTTCCCTCTCTTTCCATTCATTTTTGCTTGACCTTTTATATGAGCCATCCTTTCATCAGAATTTTCTCTGGAAAAAAAAGCGATCACATTGTAACATTGTTAAACCAGAAGGCAGTCCTAGAGAAGTTGGGTGAACTGTTCTGAGGGATTTTTGTTTCGTTTTTCAATTTAAATAAATTGAAATTTTTTTTAAAGGAGCTAAATTTAAGGCCTGGTCTGGAGTCATAGTAAGAGTTATAATTAGGGGCACCTGGGTGGCTCAGTCGTTAAGTGTCTGCCTTCAGCTCAGGTCATGATCCCAAGGTCCTGGGATGGAGCCCTGCATCGGGCTCCCCGCTTGGCGGGAAGCCTGCTTCTCCCTCTCTCACTCCCCCTGGTTGTGTTCCCTCTTTTGCTATGTCTCTGTCTGTCAAATAAATAAATAAAATCTTAAAAAAAAACCAAAACTTAAAAATAAATAAAAATAAATAAATAAATTGAAAAAAAATTTTTTAAAGGAGCTAAATTTAAGCCCTGGTCTGGAGCCATATTAAGAGTTATAATTAGGGGCGCCTGGGTGGCTCAGTCGTTAAGCGTCTGCCTTCGGATCGGGTCATGATCCCAGGTTTCTGGGTTCAAGCCTGACGTTCTGGGATCGAGCCCCACATTGGGCTCCCTGCTCAGCGGGAAGCCTGTTTCTCCCTCTCCCACTCCCCCTGCTTGTGTTCCCTCTCTTGCTGTGTCTCTCTGTCAAATAAATAAATAAAATCTT